CCCAGAAAGCATAGCCCCTGGATTCCCTATCAGCCCAGAACTAAAACAATTCCCGAGGCCAACTCTTCAGACACGGATTGGACTGGACTGTGGGACATAAAGTGATACTCGTGAGGAGTGTGCCTCTTAGCTCAAGTTGATACAAGAGACTAAAGGGGAAGCTTCTGTCCAGAGGTGAGATGGAAAGGCAGAGAGGGTTAAGAGCTGGTTGAATGGACATGGGGAATCAGGGGTGGAAAGGAGGAGCGTGCTGTCACAGTATGGGGAGAGCAATTAGAGTCACATAACAGTGTATGTATAAATTTTTGTATGGATAAAAATAAAAAAAAAATGTATGTTCTCACTTTTATGAAACCACATGAACAGGTAAAAATACAGAAACTAATGTTCATTAGTGGTTACTAGGGATGGAGTCAGGGCGGGGGAGCAGATTCACTCTCTAGATAGTAGACACTTCATTTTTTGGTGATGGGAAAGGTAATGCCAAACGAGGGTGAAGTGTACACAGCTTGACGAATGTAAACAATGTCGCTAAAATGTACACAAGAATAAAGGACTTGTTGGTAATTACTGTGGAATATATAGTTTTGAAATAACCAAAAAATATATGTGGGTGTACATACGTGTAGGCATATTATGTGAGTATATGTGAGTGTACATATAGGTATATGCATATGTATATGTATATGCATCTATGTGAGTGTGTGCACATATATTCATATATATAATAAAGCACATAGGGAACACAGTTATGGATACTTCTTAGGCATATCCAAACACCTCATGGGATTGCTCTTCTGGATTTGAGGAATTGGGACCATAGTCTCGTGGAACATCTTGGTCATTTGGCATAATATAGTTTATAAAGTTATGCTCTACATCCTAGTTTGGTGAGTAGTGTCTGGGGTCTTAAAAGTTTGCAAGCAGCCATCTAAGATACAACTATTGGTCTCTATTCATCCAGAGCAGAAGAGAAACAAGGAAACTAAAGACTCAGAGAAGAAACTATTCTAACAGGACAAATAGTCTATATAAACCACAGCCTCATCTACCTCGAGACCAGAAGAACTAGATGGTGCCTGGCTACCACTACCCCGCCCATTCTAATCAGGACCACAACAGATGGACCCTGATAGAATGGGAGAAAAATGTGGAACAGAACCTCAAATTCCTAAAAGAAAAAAGACCAGACCAACTGGACTAGTTGAGACTGGAAGGCTCCTGATAATATTGCCCTGAGATACTCTTCAGACCTTGAACTGAAACTAACCCCAGACATCACCTTGTAGCTAAATAACAAATTGGCTCAAAAAATAATGAATATCACCCGTGAGTACTGTGCTTCTTTAAAAAATCACCTATATGAGACCAAATGTTCAACAATTACTTTAAAACAAAGATGAGGATGTTAGGGTGCAAGGAAACTAGATCAATAGAAATGGAACAAGCAGAAAAGAAATAATGAGAATGTTCATGCTCTGTGAAGAATGTAACCAATGTCACTGAACAATTTGTATAGAAATTGTTGAATAGGAACCTAAACTGCTATGTAAACCTTCACCAAAAACCCAATAAAATATTATTTTAAAAAATAAAAATTAAAAGCTATAATGCCTATTTCATAGTTCTGTGAGAATTAAATATGATAATGTATATAAAGTACCTGAAATAAACTGAGAAAATAAGCTGATAAAGGCAGTTCTCATCATCTTCAACCTCACCATAACCACAGCAGCCATCATCATCCGACCTGAGGCAGGATTAGTAGGTCAAAGAGCACAAAAGTATCCTGGCCTTTTATGCACCTGAAAATTACTTTAAAACATGACTGCATTTTGTCCTGCCTTGATGAGCAGAAGCCAAATTCTCAGTGCCATTGTTACTTTCCTTGGCAACTAGCAGTCCTACTGTTGGATCTTTCTAAGGATGTAAACTAGTAATTATAGATATCCTGGAGCTGCATCTCTCTGCTGCTTCTGACCCCAAACTGTTGTTGCATAGGAGACTGAAATCACAGTTAGCCCCTCCCTCACATCCTCTCTGGGGCTCATATAGCCGGGGAAGTGACTTCCCCTGTGAGGAGAATGCAGGCACCACAGCAGTTCTTCTGCTGGTCCCCACATTTGTGTCCTCCCTCTGGGGCATGGAAGGAATCAGGTGCAATCTCACCAGAGGGAAAGCCCAGGAGGAGAGGGGAGGGAGGGAAAGGTGCTAGGTTGTGCTATAACCACACTCTCCTTAATGGCACCGCTGGTACCAGCAGAGCTAGCTGAGAAGGGAGGAGCAGGAAGTGGGATTGAAGGGCTGTGTCCTCATCAAGTGTGTCTCTCAACTGCTGATCTCACATAGTACTGACTGAGGAGCTGCATGTGAGAAGATGGGCTGAAGGCTGTGCCTCTGTTGCTGGTCCAGCCCAGGGCGGACTACGGTGGAGGGAGAAGTGCTGTGCCTTCTCGAAGTGTGCCCTCGGATTCTCCGCACAGATGAGGATCCCGGCAGCATTGTCTCATCTGCTTTATGATCAAGGAAATTCATGTTCCTGTCTGAGTTTTACAAGTGCAACTTACAATTCCCCAGCATTTGCATTGAGTTGGTGACTGCTCCGTCTTCCCAAGAACCTATACCACAAATGGAAGCGCCAGTGCCGCCGCCGCCGCCACCACCACCACCGTGTTTTCATACCCTACTGAGCACAGTCATTCCTCAGACCTTGTGGGTTCTGTGCCAGCTTTCACCACGTGTGGTGTGCTCTGAGCTTCGGTTCTAGATCCCCTTGCGAGTCCCCCCACCCTAGGAGCGCCAAGATGATCCTTCCAAGGAGTCCAGGCTTCAGCCTCAAGAGTTGGAAGGAGGAGTCCATTATCTTTTACCCACCATCCTAAAGGGCTGTGCCTGCCCTGGCAATCGGAGCTGAAGCCCGTTACTGTGCTGCTCTAGTGCCCTTCTCCTGTTAAGGCAGAGGGGATGGTGCGCAGCTTAGTATAGGGAAATAACTGGAGATTTAGTCCTCTAACCTGTCTTGGTAGAAGGAGCCCCGGTTGCGCAGTGGTTAGGCGCTGGGCTGCTAACTGAAAGGTAGGCGGTTCCAACCCACCAGTACTTCCGATCTGTGGGAAAAAGATGTGGCAGTCTGCTTCCGTAAAGATTTACAGAGTTGGAAAACATACAGGGCAATTTTACTCTGTGTATAGGGTAACTATGAGTTGGAATCCACTCAAGGGCAATGGGTTTTTAAATCTGTCTCAGAGGATGGCTCTGCTTACCAGAGATGGAGCTCTTGTCAGCTCCCCGAAATTTCGCTCACTGTAAATGACGCCTCTAAGTGCATTGTTCGGAAAAACACAACAGGACGAATTTGGGAAACTTAAAAAATAACTTTTTAAATAACGATTGCAATTCACTATGTGCTTCACAATGAACATGACATTTCCTGAATGGTGACTCAACCTAGTGTGCTCATTTCTGCATGGCGGGTGTGTGGACCAGGGCCTGGTAGCGGCAGACGCTCTATCAATCTACCTGTGTGGTGAACAAATAGTAAAGCAGCAGTTGCGCCACACCGTAAGGCCTGGAGCAGAAGGCGCGGGTTCCCTTACCGCAGGAGCCTTGAGTCTGGCGGGCGAGGCAGCGCAGGGCACCATAGACACACCTGCAGAGGCGGCAGCCGTGGACAGTCCAGGCTCCGTGCGCATGGGCGCCGCATTCGCTGAGGATGACGCGGAGGGCGCGTCAGATGCTGCGGGTCCGCACACCCTACGTCCTCCCCCGCGTCCCCGGGTTCCCCTAGGTGCCCCTTTGTTCCCTGGCCCCCTTGCGTTCCTCTACCACGCCCTCCTCCTCCTCTTACCGCTCCCGGCCACCGGCGCCCGCCCACCCCCCTCCCTCCGCCTGGCACGCCCCCCACAGGTCCGCGCCCCCATCCCCTCCCTCACGTCTCCTGGTCCGCTCCCCACCCCCGCGTCCCCTCATACCCTCATCCCCCGGCCTGGCCGGCACCACCCCCCCACGCGCCCACCTGCGCTTCGGGTCGTGCTCGCAGTGGCGGCCGGTGAAGTGGGCAGGGCATACGCAGAAGCTGCCTAGGACACAGGTGCCGCCGTTCTGGCAGCAGCTGGACCTCGTGGATGCACCTGTGGAGGTCGGGTGTCAGCCCTGCGCCGGGCCCTCCACGTCATCCCTGGCCTGGAGGAGACCTAACGAGATTGCCCTGGGGACGCAATAAAATCAGCTCCCTGCCTTGGTGTTTGCTCAGGTAAACCCTGCTTATTAATTTAGGCATTAAAACAAACTGCCAGGGATGCAGACGATCAGAAAGGAGCCTATGATACGACGGAAACTCTATGCCCTGCAAGTTGGGTTTGTCTTCCTTCCTTTCACATGTTAAAGCTCGGCTGTGACTTCACCCGACAGTGATTAAGGACAGGCCTCCGGAGCAGGGACCACACACGTGTACGATGTTGCCAAACCGACTGACCGGAGGGCCTTTTTCAAGCACATGGAGTCTGGAATCTGAAAGTCTATGATAAGCCAAGCAAGAGCCCGCTGTTATCTTGGCTTGGGATATTTGTTTTAAGTACATTCAAACCACAATACTCTGGACCTGCAGAAAATTACCCGCTGCAAATGCAACGTTTTACCAATGAAACAGTAAAATGTTTTTAAGAGTAACACTAGGAAACATTGTTAACTTTATAACGTATCATCTTTGAAGACGATGACAAAATGTTCTCTGTTGGGTTTTTCGTTTTTATCCTCAATTTATCCTAGGTTTTTCAGATCCTAGCGAAAACAACAGACCTGTAAGAATGCAAAGACTTCCTGGGCTGCGCTGCGACTTACTCTCTCGGAACCCCCAGGAATGGGGAAGTGTATCTCGCTGCTGCCTCCAGCCCTCTGCGCTCCCATTCACTTTACTAAAATTATTTAAGGTCCAGTTGAGCGTTTTCTGCTGGCGCTTCTGGGTTGTAGTGTTGTTGATTCCTTCTTTACCACCTTTGTGTTTCTCACTTTGATAGCCTTTTAAACACATTAAAAATATCAAACCGATGATGATTAAGAAATATTTTATGCAATAAAAACTGAGACTATAAATAAAATGCTTCTTACTTTTTCCCAAATGGATAATCTGTAATGCCAAACTGATCATAAACAGAAGCCTAGAATATTAAAAAAAAAGTATTGACGTTTAAAATATAAAAATGTATGAGCAGAAATTCATGTGTGTAAAATGCAATGTAATCATTCTATATAAATACATACTAAGTATAAAAAATAGTTAATATATAATTATATACAATTGTTCTGTCACTTGCTGATTTTGATCAATGTTGTAGCTTAGAAAGATCATGAGACAGAGAAAGTGTACACTTACTTTAATTAGGAGGAACAATCATGCATGAATTGCAATTTATTCTGTATGCTTTTGAAATCCCCTCCTGCTCTGGGATCTGGATGATCTCTGCCCTTACCTGACATGGTGGCCCCGCATCATTTTTCCACTGACATGTCTGGTATAAGACACAGCTTCTTCTCTCATCAGTGCAGTGAAGATCAATTTCCAAGGAAGTTGAGTCTCAACAGTTTTTGTCTTTGAAGGTATCTTTACTCCAGGCCCTGGATCAAGACACAAAATGGATAAGTGCAGAAGACACAAACCTCCTTCCCTCTGCCTAAACCACAAGAAATAGAGACAAGACCACTCAGTTCTGCTGTCATCTCTGTTAGGCAAGGGCTTGATATGACAGGCAGTGTACAAGGACAGCCTCAAGGACTGTCCCGTCAATGAGAAGCCTCTGGGGGTGGAGACTTGGCTGATTCTTTCCCCAGCAGGAAATACAGTGTCATCAGCAGTCAGGGTGGTCAATTCCTGATTTAAAAACATTGGTGACCAAGATGCGAAGTCTTTCCCTCACTTGAAAAAATAAAAATGAAAACCCCAAAATGAACAAAAAAGTCTTGATAGGAAAATGGAGATTACGTATTGCATACACTTTGTGCTGGAAGATGGTGAGGGGTAAAGCCAGAGAAGGGAGCTGCTGTGTGAGACATGATCTCAGGTCCCGGAAGTCTTGAGTGGGAAGCATGAATATATGCACAAACCTTTCAACACTTGCTTCCTAAAGCTGTATTGCTATTTCCAGCACATGTCATAGGCATTATCCATTTAACACAGCACCTTCTGGGTAGAACTATTATTATCCCCCACTTAAAAGATAGGAAACTGAGGCTTAGGAGTTTAAGTCCTTTGCCGCAGTATCATTGAACAAATCTAAGTGTACAGGTATTATGAAAAAAAGCCCATGGGGTGCCTGTGCAGCATCTGAGCAGTATGATGGTTCTGCTCTCAGTCCAAGAAGCAAGTGACTTTCTAAGTCTCGATTTTTGATGATTACCAAAATAGGTACTGGCATCCCTTTATCAGCACTAAAAGGACACTTTGGGGAGAGAATCAGTGCTGCAAATTGTTCTGTGATTTTAGTATAAAAACTGCTTCCTCTAAGGTTAAAATAGTCTTTGATATTGATTTATTTTTTAAACCTTTAGATGTGAGATTTATTAAGGAGACTGTTAAGTAAACCAACAGGGAACTGGCAGACCTGGCTGCCATGAGGCCCCCTGAGAACAGACTCCACAAGCTCCAGGACCAAGTCAGGACCTGACAGGGCAACATAAGGGACTACATGCTTCATAACTTTGTTAAGCATCTGTAAACAGAGTTATGAGAAATACACTTTTAAACTTAATGGTTATTATTTGTTAATTGTATAATTTAATTATATATAAAGATAAGTACATTTTGTGAATTTAAGTCAATAAAAACTTCTATATAAGCCACTGGGTTATATACTAAAATAAAACCATACATAAACCAAAGAATTGTCTTTCTTTTATTATTTAAAGAAGTTTTAAAACTATTTAATTTACTGAATTATGTTGAATCCAAACCTTTCTGACAATATTAAAGTTATAAAGATAATATCTAAACTCTAATTTTTTCTCACAGTTTCTTTAAACTTTGTATTGTGGATATTTTTGAGTATGCACAAAAGTAGGAAGAATGATCCAATAAACTCAGCTTCAACAATTAAGCACTCAAGCTTTGCCAATCTTATTTATTTCCCCCCTCACACTTTTTTTTCCCTTGGAGTTTTTGAAGCAAATCCTACATAAAATATTTCACATGTCAAATAAGGTTTTGAAAATATACACGTTATACATGGAAACTATAAAAAACGCAAAGGAAGAAAGTGGTATTTGCTAGGAAGTTTCTTGCCAGAAGTGACTCAAAGGGCTGAGGCAAAAAATAAAGATCGTCCCATCTCTGCTGGAAAGTCAGCTCTAAGGAGGGACAGGGCCAACAACCTGGGAGATAAAGCTGCTGATAAACCATTTTCCCCCCACGGTATCCTGTTTTCTGCTCCCCTCAAAGCCACATTTGCTTTCCAGGAAGGGCTTTGTGGGCACCAGATTGTCTCATTTACTTAAGAGGTATAAAAGAGCTATAAAACTCTTATAAAATGAGTTTTGCATTTAACCACTGAGGAGACACTCATGTTTGCTGTCAACAAGGCCCAGCTGAAAGGGATTGCCTGGGAAGAAGCTGGAAGCTGAGTGGTGGGAAGATGGATCTGCTGCTCAGGGGAGGTCCTCTTTCTTGTTATCAGTTGTAAACAGATAAGCCTGGGGAGAGGGGTTCTAACTCTTTTGAGGGGCTATAAAGCCTGTGGAAATTGAGACACTGTCCTAGGGCTGGAGACAACCTGTCCTAGGGCCCTACATCAGCGTCCTCAGCACATCAAACGATCCCCCAAGGAAAATGTTCTGCAATAAATTAGGTGTGAAGGAATTTCCTGAGAATGACCTTAAAGCAGTGGTTGTCAACATGGGCACTCATTGTTATCTCAGGGGAGGCTCTTGAAAATCCCTGTGTTCTCCTCAGACTCTCTGGGGTGTACCTGGCATTGAGTGAGTCCAGTGTACAGCCAAGGGTTCCATCATTGGCTCAAGCACTTTTATGTCCATGTCCTACTAGGCTATATGATCCTGAGGATGGAAAGTCAACTTTCATATCTTTGTATCCCTAGCTTTTAGCACAGTGCCTGATACATAGAAGGCACACAATAAAAGTGTTGTTTGTATGAGCTTGCAGCATGATAGAGCTTCACTCTCACACAGCACCCAATGCCTGACAAGTATTGTGACATCACCAATGTTATCCTTACAGCCTCTCTGGGTGTGCGTGTTGCCTCTCCCCATTTTTCAGACCAGGTAACCAATTCTCAAGTTCATTAAGTGACTGGTTCAAGATCATGCAGCTACTTGAAGTTATAGCCAAGAGTAAAATGCTGGCCTCCACTGGAAAGTTCTGGCGCTCTTCCACTGCCCCACAAAATCCTCTGCCTCCATCAGTGGTGGCAGCACAGAGCAAGTGGGTCAGAGGTACCAAGTAACATAGTAGCAGACTGAATGAGACCCACGACTTAATGGACTTGTGATTGGAAAGCACACGTGCTAGGAGATCTGCTGCCCTGGTCCCGGGCAATAATTCAATTGCTCTGACCTGAATCAATCAGTAACAACAACAAAAGCATTATTTGACTGTGTCTCTCATGGGGTGTTAGTCTCAGACCCCCAGCTTTCCCCCTTACTAGAAGAGTGCCATGTCAAATGCTCCAATTTGAGCTAAGACAGAAAGTAAGACCAGCTACAAAGACAAAGACTAGCAGACCAATGCAAGGATCCAGCACTGGCCTGGGCCTGGAAAAGTGGTGGAGAAAATCCTCTTTCTTGTAGGTCTTTAAACATAAGGCCCATTCTCACATGTCGGAGGTGCTGAGTTAGTTTCATGGACACTCCAGACTGTAAGGTAGCCAGGGCCAGCCACCCTGAGACTAGGCTAGGCTTGATTTTACAGAAATAATGTTTAACTTTGCTCCTCTGGTGATATTGTAAATGGTCTATACCAGATTTCTACCTCACTGGATCCTTTTTCCTTTTCTCTGTTCATACTGGGATGTGAACTTGTTTCACCTCAAGTTAGGTTTGCCCACATCACTGTGAAAAATGTAGCTGTATAACTCTGTATGTTAATGAAAGACAAAAATGCAAACATTGAATGCCATGTAAGTGTAGACAATGACTTTGCTGGCACAGATCCTCATTACACGCCCACATTCAACCTTACTGGATGTCCACTTACACTCTCCAAGGCTTTAGCTGAGCCCGAATCTATTGATTGTCCTCAAGGGGCGGTCAGTTTCCCTTCCCAGCAGTAATTATTCCTTAAAAAGCTCTAAGTCATCAAATACAAACTAGCTAGAAGAGTACTACTGTAATAGGTAGATCCTACGTGCCCCAGGTTCTTTCCCCAGAGGACATGCATTGTCTAGGATGCTAGTGGCTGCTGCCAGATTGGAGCTCTCAAAGGGTCCCAGTGACCTGCATGAGCTGCCTCTGAACAGCCCTAAGACCAGCGCTGCGAAAGGTCCCAACCAAGAAACTAATTCCCAAGAACATGCACCAAACTGGAAGCTTTCTGCAAGGGACTTTTAAAGAGAAAACATCCTCTCACAGGTACACATAATTCCTATGTAATCACTCAGTGGTTTCCTGTCTGGATCTGCTGGTTGTATCACTGCTGCACAGGGAGGTGGCGGGAAGAGGAAACCCAATGAGGAAAGAGACTGTAAAGCCCCTGCCACTGCCACGAGCTCCAGACAGTCCACTTAGCTGGGAATGAGCTGGCCCCACCTGCATGCAGAGTGTCCAACAACTCCACCTATGCTTTAATTTCAGTCAGAAGGAAAATATATTTCACCATGGAAATACAAAACATGTAGGCAAAACTATGTTTCCAATAGCCTTTGTTACATTCTCATAATAAATTGAGACAGTCATTAAAATTAAACTTTCAAAGGTTTTAAAAACTTTTTACAAAGGGAGAAATATTTTATAACCTCGCTTACATAAAGACAATAAAAGGCAAATTATAGAGACCAAGGTTTATTAGTGGTTACTAGGGGTGGTATGGAAGGGAGGTGGGGGTTTAACAGTGATGGAAAAACCACGTTGATTATTTCAATTGCTGTCAATAAGTTGTACAACTGTAAAAAGTTGAATTGGCAAAAATTCTGTAATAGATACACTTAAAATGACAAAAAAAAAAAAAAAAAAAAAGGTAGCTGCTGAGGCTGCTTGTGTACAACCAAAAACCTCATGGAATTTGATTCCTTAGTTTGGAGGTTTAGGGTCATGGTTTCATGGGACATCCCAGTTAATTGGCCTAATAACATGTTTAGTGATTCTGTTCTACTTCCTAGTTCATTGCACTACCTTTGCCATGAGACCAGAAGAGCTGAATGTGCTTGGCTACCATTACAGAACATTTTGATCAAAGATTCCATAGAAGAATCCTGATCAAATAGGGAAAATGCAGAACAGAATTTCAAATTCTGATGGACTCCAGACTTTCTGGAGCTATGGAGGTTGGATGAACCCCTGAAACTACTGATAATCTGTAACCCTGAGATAATCTGT